TCCCCTGCTCGCATCCCCTGCTCGCATCCCCTGCTCGCATCCCCTGCACCGCTCGCTGCGGGCTGGCGGGGAATCGATCCCCGCTGTCCGAATCTCTGAAGCGCTCGTTCCAGAGCGCGCTAAGAACGAGGCTGTAACTTCTTTCCTTCCATCAACCCCGGGGCGGCTGTGCACCGCGCTGGGCATCGCTTCGCTCAGGGGCTTTCGGTTTTGCTACTTAACAAAATGGCGTTACTCGTCCTACTAACCTGCATATTAATATGGTGACACGTTTTAATTGCATATTCACGTCATTGAACGCCACTGCTTCTATAATCCCTGCTTTAAAGTACGCTTCGGGATCGTGACTGAAAACAGAAGTGCTGTGGAGTTAAGGATGTAAAATGTGGTTTAAACAGTGACATGACAGAAAACAAGGACACCCTTTCTGTCTCAGAAGGGCTGTGCAGCCTGGAGGAGAGGAGACCTGAGAGCGGCCTTTCAGTATCTGAACGGGGGCTGTAAGAAAGAAGGGAACATGCACATCAGCAGGGTGTGCTGTGACAGGACAAGGGGAAATGGTTTCACATTAAAGGAGGGGAGTTTTATGCTGGATATGAGGAAGAAGTTTTTACAATAAGTTTGGTAAGGCACTGGCACAGATTGCCCAGAGATGTGGGTGCTCCATCCTTGGAGACACCCAAGGCCAGGCTGGAGAGGCTCTGAGCACCTGAGAGAGCTGTTAGGTGTGCCTGTTCAGCGCAGGGGAGTTGGGATAGATGGCCTTTTAGCATTCATTCCAACTAAAGCCATTCTGTGATTCTATTACAGTCTAAACATGTGTACACGGTGTTTTGTTACTATAGATTTGATAGAAAGCCAGGACACTGATGAATCAACTTGAATAATACCCTGTAGTATTTGCTGCTCCTTTGCAGGAGTTATTAAAATTTCACTTACTTCGGGCAGGTGCTAACAGGCTCACATGTACATCTTTAAATGTTTCAGAAACTCAGTGACAAGCATTGTCATTGTACTCTTTCAGGAAACTGAATGCAGAATTAGAAGCAAAAAGAGAAAAACTGATGCGTCAGACCGAAGAAGTCATGGTGAGTAGGTTATGCAGGCTGTTACATAATTCAGCCTTGGTTCACATGGACGCAGGGTCAAGTTTCAAAAGAAATTATTTCAACCGTGACAACTAAAAGTAGTTTGGTTTCAGATTCAATCTAAGCTTTTCTTGCCTTTTCTCAACCCCCTTCCTTCAAAATTGTAAACTTTACTAAAAACACGTGCAGTAATAGTATATAATAGAATTTCATCAGATAAATGGATATTCACATAACTGTGTAGGGCATTTGTGCACTTATACATAAGATCAGCTGAAAAAGCTTTTTATGATGGTTAAATATAGTGTCTGCAACGGTTTTATGTCTTAAATAAAATGCTATTTTGGTATTTGAAAACCAGATGCTGCAATAACTAGTGAAATACATAGCTGAAGCTGACAGGAGTACAAAGAATAAGCAATATAAATAGAAAATATGTACTTAGTTAGAGGGAAACTTTCTTAAAACAGAAGAAAATTTCCTGTTTATTGTTAGTATTATCTTTTAACATTAGTGTGGCTTTGGGCCAATTTTTATATGAAAATTGGTCAAGTTATTAAAAAAAAAAGAGAGCTGGAGTGATCTGCTTTATACCCAAGACACCTTTAGAGAACGTTTCCTCCTTATTAGAAATTTTCAAAATATGGTTTCACTCAAATAAAAAAAGCTTAAAAACCAAAATATTTTGCCTATTTATTAAACTTCATTCTTTGTGTACTATGAAAGCATACATTCCTCTAGAGTTCTGGTAAGTTTGGACAGAAGCAGATGAAGCACCCAAAATAGCATCTAGTCTCTTTCCTTTGAAAAACAGCAACAACCAAACCACTTTTTTTCCCCCTCTAAATGCAGCTGCAGATCAAATATTGTTGGGACACTTAATAACCCATGTAGCACTGCCTGATTGCACAGATGCACATTTAACAACAAAAGAAAAGCAAGTCAGAATTTAAAAAGAAAACAGGATAACTACTTTTAGCTCTGGATTATGCTTTCTAACTGTTTCTTAGCAACACAGAAGTTATCTCAACATTTAACGTTTGACTAAATTGTTCTCTAAAGAACATAACAGCATATCAATGTCTGAATTATGGCTGTATTGTATGAATGAAGACTTATATTTAAGCCTTGTGCTGTAATACAGCAAACTGAAAGTTTGTTCCACTTGCTATGCATTTCTACCTCCGCATTTCAGAGAAAGGGAGGATAACAGCATATAAGATGATAAGTTTGCAGAAGCTTTAAGTTACACTTTCTGAAACAGAAATAAATATTTGGGATAGCAGCAGTTTTTTGATGTCAAGCTATCTTTTCTTATGTTTAAAAAATCCTTTTCTACAGTAGACTTAAGTGGCCATGTCTACTATAGTTTCACTGTGATATATGAATATATGATTTCTCTTTTATTGTTCAAATTCTCCCCAAATTTACTTCTGTCTTTTCCTTAATAAAGAAAAGCCAACAAGAGACACTATCTAGACCAATTTCAGTACAAACTAAGTACTGTGAAGATGACAAACAGAGGTACGTACTTTACAATTGCTATGCGTATTTCATGGGGAATCTCTGGTAATCATCTGTACTCCCTGACTTGTCCTAGTCATGCTTTGCAGCATAGACCACTGAATTAGTGGAGTCTAAATATTATCCTATTGTTTTAAATAACTGATACTAAACCAGTGTTCCTTGTTTTCGTACAAGTCTTAATTTTGCTGAAATAGTCTATCTAGGAGACTAAGTAGTTCAAGTATCTGTAAAAATGCAAGTAACCAGTTTTGCTTATAAAGAAGTAGTTTTTATCTTCATTCTAATTTTACTTGGCTTAAGTGCTGTGGAACAGGAAATGCACTATTTAAAGAAATAGCAACAAAAAAGCCCACAACAACAAAGAAACCCAAGATAGACAAACATTCAGCTGCCACCATCTGGAATTTTGATATCATTACACTTCACATACTTTTAATCTGTAAGAATTTATGCCTAAATGTGGGTTTTGGCCTCTATGTTCAAATCTGTTAGCTGTAGAGTGGTACCTGGCAGTATTTACTCAGTTGTTCAAAGGTTTGTATATTGGTAGCACTGAAAATGGCTAAGTTGGAGATATTCTAATATACAGTTTAATGGGAATCTGATCTACTATATTACCAAATTTGTGTGAAAAAGTCTGTGATGGAAGCCTGTACACCAGTAAAAACCTATACTGCTACAGTAACAATTATTTCTGAGCTATTTTGAGGCTGTTTCTGAAGTTGTGAAGGTCAGGAAAAAAAAACAAATAAAAAATGCACCATCTCTTATTGGTATAGCCTTGCATTGTAAGCATATTCTAGTGCATAGATCCTCTTTAGTATTATATTCTGCTGGCTGAATTTTGAATACTTGACAGAAGATTTCTATGAATTTAAAAACAAAGTTGAACTATAGAGTAACTTTACAAATTAATGTGATCAGAGGAATGAGCCCTATAAAGAGAGTTAGCAGCTATGGTGGTATACATTTGAAATAAATGGAAGTGCTGGAATCATTATGAAAATGTTGGTAAGTAGTACATCAGAGCAGCAGCTAATCTACCAATTATCTACATAAATTAAAAGATCTCAAAACAAGCACTGTGTTCTGGTAAACAGGGATAGAAGAGAATTGAAATCCCATGCTGGAGTGAAAAAAAAATACAAGCGCATGTTAGAAATCAGGCACACTGATTATCCATGAGTGAACATTGAGGCCATTCAATTAGATTAGTTCCAAGTATTTGATATTTATTTTTCCTGCAAAATTATGCAAGCAAATATGCCATAAATCCACAAGAAGCATCTAAAATCTTTTTGAAGCAAGTTTCATTATTTCCTGTATGGAAAATGAACACTAGAGACACTGGAATGAAGGGAAAACATTGAGATTAAGTAAGAGACAGGATGAGAAAAAAGACAAGTGGCAAAAATTAATAAGGAAAATATTCAAGTCATTCTCTAGGGATGTATTTTAAAATAAGTAATGGAGGAGATTTTATAGCTCATTTTTTTGCAGAGAAATGCGAATTCCCCAGGGACAAAGCAGCTCCACTGACACTGCACTGAAATCAGCTTTTGTTTACACTTTTGCTCTTCAGAGATGGGATCTGTGTGCGCATGGGCAGGCGGGGGGCAGGCTTTGAATAGGATTAGCAAAACACAAAGGGTTTGCTCATGCACATGCACCTCGTATGTACTGCTGAGATGGAAATGCTAAACATTAGCTTCTGTTTCAGTGTCACTGCAACTGTCCAGCTGCCTATTTTATACCTTTTCACGTTTTACATATTCATTTCACTTACTGAGCAACTACAGAGCTGTATTGCAAGGCTTTAAAAAAGTGTTGT